CTCACCAAGATGCCAACAAATCTCATAAACCTATACAACTGTGCTAATATTATATTAACGTGTCATTTCCTGTTTATCGTTTCTACATATCATTACTTAGACCTGCGCCATTTTTCGCAGTTCCACTACGCCATCAACAACCAACAGGCTACCCGGTCCCCAGCATTCAGTACCAGGTATTTTTTTTATCTTACTCACTACGATTACGTTCTCCTTAAGGCCTCACTTCACCTTCGTATCATTCAAAAGATTCACATCTGTGGGAACCCAGGGGCTTGTCGCTAATTATGGACCAATGTTCAGGTCCCTCAGCTTACACAGGCTTACATTACAGTATCTCTGATACACACTTACCCATACGTTCTACATTTTCACACTTGACACACCAGTGGCACGCCTCAGGCCCACTAGCATCTCCTTCACCCTTGGGTTTCTGGATCGAGCCCATTTCCTGCAGAAGCAAATATAGAGACATATCAAAGTCTTCCTGTGCTTTGTCCAAACAAACAGAACTAATACTCAAGGTTAGTATTTACATACGTTCAAATACATCATTCCAAGAGACAAGCCCCATTAGTTTAGAGAACTGGCTCATAGGGTTAGGTTCTGGCCTTAGCTATCAAAGTTAATACCCGGTCGAGAGGTCTACACCCCACCTCATACACGGAGGTTCAGCCCCACGACCAAATCATATTTAGCCACCTCGCTCGCCCTTCTTTAGGGCTACAGTTAGGGTTTCCCAAGTCACGGCCACACGTTTTGAATCTCTTTACGGTCACCGAAAGGCCTACACCCTGCCACGTGGCCACAAAATCCCCTTGGCCCAAATCATAGGTAGAGCCTCTCTCCATCACTCGGCACTGGCAGGGCCTCATCTGTCACTTGGTCTAGGTAAACTCTTCGCTTCGGCACTAGCTAGCAGGCCAGTTCTCCGGAGGTCTCACCTCCACCTCCTCCTCACCCTACTTATTCAAATCATTATTCCTTGTTCAGATGTCACAAGAACCGATCATCGATCTACCATCGGACAGAATACCCAACTTGCCAGTCAGGCGTGGGTTTCCTGAGAAATCCCTCACCCCTTCTACCCACAGGTCCCTGAGATACTAGACCATTCCAAAAATCTCAACGGAGCTCACTCAGGGGTATCCCCTTTTCTGCCACTGCCAGGAAGGCCGAACTATACAGGCTTATGACCACACAGGCAAACGTCCCCAGGCCAGGCTGTAGTTCACAAAGACTGCCAGCTCACACTTCGGATTCCACATGAGACACCACTGGTCGCTATACTTATACTCCAAACGATCAATCACAGGCTGGCAAAAGTGGAATCGGCTATAGTCACTGTAACGGATCGACGGGCACCCCGACTGGGTACCTCCGTTGAAGGATGCTCCTAGCGCTTCCTGAGGACTCCAAGCACTGCAGCAGACACCATAACCACCGAACCGGAGAAGCATACCAATGCTCTCAACAGTGGCGTACACATGACCCATGGGGCCCCGGTGCGAAAATTGATCCGTGGGCCCCCCCCCGCGCGCGCGGGC